ATTATATGACAAAGGACTCAAATTGGTATCCAGTAATCTGGACAAATTCGGATTTGGTAGTGATGTGCTAATTTGCTTGACGAGAGCCTGTGCTTCAAAGTTACCAGAGAAATATAGTGGCTGTGACTGACAGAACGTGGAATTCATGGTTTGAATATCTGTGTTAGTTGACCCCTCGCTTGAATGTGGAACACTGCCACTAAAGATATGAATGTTGGACGAGGAATGGTTTCGTGGAATATGTAAAACAGAAACTAGTTTTTCCTCCTTTCCCTCGTGTTCAAGTTTTTAAAATATTTGGCACGATATTTGTTGTGGGATTTGTCAACTGCGGACAACTTCTGTATAGATATATCTTCCAGTGAGAGGAAATCAGCTCAAATTATTTTGAATAAAAAATAATAACAGTACAGTGAATTATCCTACATATTGACGTTTTGCGCAGGAAACCCACCCCAAATAACTGTTCACTAACGTTAAAGCTCATTGACTTTGAAAGCACGTAACTAATCACCCATGTTACGCCAAAGGTTGTTATTGATGGAAATACCCATTTTGCGAACAAATTTCTTGGCGTAGGATAAATACACGATAAAAAAAAAACCTAGGGAACCTAACAGCCAAATAAATAAGTATAGTTCTAATACGTTATCACAGCGAATCGTGTGGTGATTTACTTCTCTGATATTGATTTTACATTTAATAATAGTTAAAAGGGTAAATCCTACGATTGAAAGCAATTGACCGATGATTATGATTTCTTGTCTCCAGTGCAACGGCGAAACGGCAGATACTAGGAGAAAAATTTCCAAAAATACAATCGCTGCTACAAACAGGTAACGGTCGCCTAAAAGATATAAAAGAGATTATTTAAAAAAAAATTATATTACATAAAAAAGTCAGAAAAGAAATGGTGCTTATTATTTAAAATTATGTATGATATTCTGGAACTGTGCTCTGAATTATGTTTACTGTCCAAAACTGCCTGCTGAGATCGTCTTTGAGCCTGAAGCATTATGTTTATGGTAGTAGGACATAGAATTGGAATAGCCCAATCATCTTAAAGAAAACAGACATGTTCTAAAAGTGGTTCTCAAACAAACGAATTTGAAAACACGTGGATGGAACGTAATAATAATGAAATGAATGAAAAGTTTTAAAAATAAACAAAATTTGTCACAACAGCTCTCTGCCATCTCTAAACACTAAAAAATGCAAATATAAATAGGGCGGCAAGATCCAATCTAACAAATATTTTTATTTCCAATTAGCTTCACGTCCCCTCAAAAAATTGTCTACGAGTTGCTCAAAATGGAAAGCATCACACGTAAAACTTGGCGGCATCTATTTTGCTAATTGAAGCCATGTCACGATTTCCAAAACAAGCGCAGCCTTCTCACTCTGAGGCGCGGCGGTGTGGCGCATTGTGCTAAAAGTTAGGAATACGCTCGCCACCGCACCTCTAATTACTCTGCGTAGGTTCGCAGGTGCCATACGGGAATATGTGTGTGCAAGACAATTGCTGGACTTCTCGCCGCCGTAGGGTGGTTCATGTAAGCGTTGGTCGGTTAAGGCTTCTTCAACCCTCAAGTCCATGCTCACGAAAACAAATAATCAACTAATCGGAATGGAATGGTAACCGGACGAGAGGCCGTGGTTCGTCATATGGTAAAGTCGTCTTATCGGTTTTCCGCTTCTCCGGAATAAATATGTAAATCCTATTTTAAAATGATTATTTTAATATTTGTAATATATAAAGCTCTACATGACGTTTAGTATTTGGGAATATTCTTGGGTCGCTACCACTGTCCTAAAGTATACATAATTAGAATAGTTTAAAACATAGGCATAATAGCAAACCTTTATATACTTTCATCTTGAAAACTTTATCTGTCTACTTTTTGTTTTGCTTCTTCGCGAACACCCGAGTGTCTTCTTCACTTGAGTTCACGTTTCTATGAGTTTCTGTTCACTAGTGGAACATAAACTTGAAGTAGATAAGTTGTGGTTCGTATTCAAGGCTTCAACACAATTCGTTGTTCCTTATCAAAACTGATGGAAATTAGGTGTTTGAAAAACTCAGGGTGTCTTTACACTTCAGATATGCATGGTGTATATGCCAGTGTTTCTCTAGCGCCCCCTTTTTAAAATTTGTCAAGTCTCGCGCTCCACCTTGAAAAACTAGCTTACAATTATCGACAAATAACAGATAGTAAGTTTCAAAAAACACGTTGCAAATACGTGAATGGATTGTAAATATCAAAAATAAAGAAAAGTAACGATCCAAAATAGGGCTGGCTGGCAAGATCAAATCTAACAAACATTTCCTATTTAAATTTGCTCCACGTCTCCTCAAAAAATTGTCTACGCCCCCTTGTGTTGCGTGCCACACCATTTGAGAACCTCTCAATTAAACATTCATTGACGAGAGAGAGTGAACCCTATAAAAAAACTGAAGAATTTTAACACAAGTAAAATACTTAAGTTGAAAGTGGTATATTTGTGAAAAGATCAATCAGTTTTTATTATCTGTTGGTTTCAACTATCTCAATAAGCTATTGGTTTCAACTATTGAGATTAGTGAAAGTGTTTTCTAAATCACCAATTACATACCAATTCTAAAATTGGAACAGAGAATTTCCGGTTTTCGTATAAAATACCTAATCGATATGTCCACTGCATACAACTATGATTGTTTAAGATAAGAAATTCTGTTCACGCATGAATGCCACACGCAAAAATGTCCTGTCTTCACAAAGAACAAGTTAGGAATATACTACAAATGAAAGAATTCATTTACACAAGAGACAGGAAGGTTTGTAACCCTTTTGATTCAGCATAGTCAAAACTCTAAACCAGTGGTTCTTAAACTTTTTAAGCCACGCTCCCTTTTCAGAATTTGTCACGTCTCGCGCTCCGTCTCAAAAATAACGGAGCTCCAGAATTATATGCATCAAGATTACGCACATCCTGTACATAGTATGTGTACCAGGTTTGGGTTCAGGTTGTGCGCCATTTTGGTGCACATACTTCTTGAGCGCTAAAATAACTATAGCTAACAATAAGCTACAAATAAGTAAGGCGGAGGTATGTTTTCTTAAAAAGACATGTTATGAGGACGTGGATGAAACGTGTTCAAAATATAGAAATGTAAACATCCAAAATAAGGCGGGCAAGATCAAATCTAACAATTTTTTCAATTAGCTCCACGCTACACGGTTTGAGAACCACTACTCTAACCGAGACATATTCCAACTCAACTCTACTCGAAACATTGCAATCTCGAATGTTTAGTACTCATACTTCGGACACTGTGTCATTCAATTGACGTCTTTTAGACACTGTGTCATTCAATTGACGTCTTTTAAAAGCAGACTGCTTTGTGTTTTGAGGTAATTCGATTCTCGTATTTATTCGAACCGAACTAAACCCGAAACGAGAATATCGGTCGGAGACCGAAGACTTATCGATCGAAACTGCGGTTTCGATTAATGACCCTATAGTGACACCGCGTGTCCCATCACTAATTAATTAATACGTCGCTAATTATACGACATAATCAATAGGCTTCTGGCCCGAGATATGATGAATGCACATGCAAAATCTGGAGCGGATTCAACCCCGCCTTCGTGAGATATCGCGTGCATCTAACAGACAGACAAACAGACAAATACCTATCAACATACTTACCGATCTAAAGATCGATCGGTAACAATAATTATAACGAGAATATCGGTCAGAGACCGAAGACTTATCGATCGAAAGTTAGGGGATCCCCCAAAACAGCGCTCTTAGTCCATAGTCACACTTTGTGTCCCATCACTAATTGATTAATAACTCGCTAATTATACGACATAATTCGCCCAAAATCAATAGGCTTCTGGTCCGAGATAAGATGAATGCACATGCAAAATCTGGAGAAATCGCGTGCATCTAACAGGCAAACAGACATACAGACATACAGACAGACAGAAAAATACCAAACAACATACTTGCCGATTGAAATCGATAATAAAAACAAAGAAAACCGCCCACACACTTCGCATTTTTAGTCTAACAAAACACACTTTATCGAAGCAAAATAAATCGGGTCAGTTCTGACTACATGTTCCATCTGCCTACAGAAGAAATCGTTATTTTTTACTGGACAAAAGCTATATCGCCAAACAGAACTATCGCAATCTCAATACAAAACGTGTTATGATGAAACGTTGTAATATCTAAATGTAGTATTCAACAATACCTTCTTTGTATATTTTTAGAACCAAGTTTTTTCAAATGCCGGAATATTTTTCATTAAGTCTTGGCAAATGTGAATATGATTACACAACCAAGTCTTATTCTTATCTTTAAGCTATTTACATACCAAAATTTTGTTGAGCTTACAATCTATATGACATGACACATGGCAGCCCGAATTGCGATTCGAGACTATTTCATGTGGCAGCAGCCAATAAATAATGTTCGCCACCCAGACAAAAATGGGTGCAACTGGGACGTACCCTTTCATGTGATTCCAGATTTGAATGATTACGACAGTAAGTAAACGTAAACGTAAGTAAACGAAAGTAAGCAATAAAGCACTGGCGTAATTGCACCGACTTAAGGGCGCACGATCAATGACGTATAAATCTTATATTATTAATAATATTCTGACAATTTGCCGAAGTCATTTTCTTTTTCAGCACAAATAAAAATATGCATGCTTCAACTAGTAATATTGCAGTGCAACCGCATAGTGATTTCGGCCCGTAGAACGAACAGTACTCAATATTTGTTTTCGCTTTTATTATTTTTTCTATAAAATCCACGCTTGTGAACGATTAACAAGTTTACACACCGGACGTTACAATATATACTGCTTATAGTTAAATCAACGTGTGCAAAGCGTTAAAAATTATTTGACGTGACTTGTTGGTTGTAGCCTCGTCCTACTCTACTGGAAATCGAACACTTTTATTTGCAATTTGGTTTAACAAAGCCAAAACGTTGAGGGAGTTAATGTAAGAAGAGAACATGGCTGAGGGTGGTCCTCAAAACCAGCAGCAAACTGTATTCAACATTAATATTTATAGTGCGCAAAACCAAAGGGAAATTATACAGTAAGTTGGATATTCGATAGCTCAGTTATAAATGTATTCAGTTCGTGTAATATGATTTTCTGATAGACCGCGCAGTCATAGCTGTGCAGAATCTCATTTTTTATGTTAATTTACTTTAGTTTTATCCAAATAAATACCTGATTGAATGCAGCAGATAGTGCGTGGACAAAATATAATATCTAAATCGATCGTGTTCATTAAGATTTAACAGTAATCATACAGTAAATTCGAAAGTTTTTACCACACATAGATACTTCAATGTGAAGTATGACACCGCCTTTATCCAATAATTTTGTCAATATTCGGGGTGATGGACTATATAGCAATGCAGCGCTAACTTTTATATGACTGTCAGAAATTAGTGATCTCACGGAGGGTTCGACATGGTTCATCCGTGTAAAAACTTGCTCGTACAAGTAAGTGTTATCACATATAAAAACGACCTTTTCTAGCTTCACAGAAAAAAGACATGAAAACAGATCAAAATACATTGCAAACGATGAAAACAAATTCAAACATCTCTTTCCAGCAAAAACGCCCACAAAGGGAAATAAAAAGGCTTTCGATAGCTGGGTGGTGCTTTTCGCGCGTTTGAACGACGATAGATAATTTTTTTATTAAAGGTTTCAATAATGGCTTGGATTTGTAGAAAAAAACATTGAGATTCGAATAATACCACGCGGGCCACTCGGAAAAATTTGGCGGGCCACATATGGCCCGCGGGCCACGGCTTGGACGACCCTGGGTTAGGCCATAATTTTATTCTAATTTTTGTTATTTTAGTTCTATTAAGAGTACGAGGACTAGTCAAGTGACTCCCGTAGTATTTGTACCCGGAATTATGGCCCAACCCTAACCTAGATTTGATCCAGAACAGTGGTTCTCAACCTTTCATGCGAGTGGAGGCATGTCTGCAGAAACAGACACTTTCACTTTAATAATTAGAGTAAATATCACCCCCCCCCCAGTAGCAAAATAAAAAAACAGTATCATTATTTTTTGCTAGCTACAATCAAAATTTACCCACAGCGACAGCGCCCAATTTATTACTTATCGATTTTAATCGATCGATAATAATCGATAAATATCGAAATCGAAAATTATCGAATTGTCTGTCTGTGTGTTTGTCTGTCTGTCTGTCTGTCTGTCTGTCTGTGTGTGTGTCTGTTAGATGCACGCGATATCTCACGAAAGCGAGATTGAATCTACGCCAGATTTTGCATGTGCATTCATCATATCTCGGACCAGAAGCCTATTGATTTTGGATGAATTATGTCGTATAATTAGCGAGTATTAATTAATTTGTGATAGGACACAAGGTGTCACTATAGAGTAAGAGCGCTGTTTTGGGGGATCCCCTAACTTTCGATCGATAAGTTCTCGGTTTCTGACCGATATTCTCGTTAATACCTCAACGTGTTCGTTGCCCACCTGACTGTGTTGATGTGGCCCAGCAGTGGGCTCAACCAGTGATAGAGATATTTGAATATATCGAATCGTAGGGGCTGATTTCTTGTAACTAAATATACATGAACGATTGATTATAGTCAGCAGGATGTGACCAATTATATGCGCTTTATCTATGTTGCAATATTTTATTTAGAACAAGGAATACAGCGACAACGAATAAGGTTGTTGCAAAGCATATTGGGCTGGTAAATATTCAACAGGCAGCAGCGCAACAGGATGCTCAAAATGTCGGACAACAACCGGAAGCTGACAACGTCCCACCAGATAATATTGCTGAGGGTGTCGACGCCTTGAATTTGTCCACAAGAAATCCCGAAGTTAAAAAAAGTGACGAAAATAAAAGGAAAGGTGAGATATATATGTATGTTGTCATTAGTGTAGTGGGGATTACGGTCTCAATTGGCTGCATATTAACAGAAAATAAAATAGCCTTACATGTCAATGATGAGTTGAAACTTTTTCTTTATAAAGATTTTTATGTCCCTTCTATATTCATCGCCCAGTTCTAACGTTAAAGTGTGTTTTTTACTCAAGCTAGGCTTATGCCACAACACAATTTGGTAATGCATCACACTTTAATGATTAATCAGAGTACTAATCTCTAGTCATCATGCTTTATCCTTTATCCTGGAATCTCTATTTTACCAGGTGATTTCAGGGACCAACACATTCTATTGAAATCTACAAAGGACAAATCGACCCGACGAAAAAGAAGGGCGCCACCGCCGCCTCCCAGTACGTCAGCATGTAGAATTTGCGCAGGACGTGGGAATAACTCTTTGAAGATTTCGATTCTTCGAAGTGAGTAGATCACTTAACAACAGGACTAACAAAATCCATAGGTTTAAATCATGTATTCAAGGGTCGGCAATCTTTTGTCAGTCGCGGGTCGAAATTAAGGGTTGCAAGTCTTGGCGGGCAGCACATATTTTTAGAAAAATAAAAATCAAACGAATGCCCGATGAATCACAATTTTTTCACGCAGATCAGAAGTTGAAATTTTCGATTCCAAACAGCACGCAAAGACTGCGACAACTAGAGAACCCAACTCAGTCGTCTAACTGAAGGATTTTTTTTTACAAATGACATTTAATACGAGAATATCGGTCGGAGACCGAAGACTTATCGATCAGAGGTTAGGGGATACCCCAAAACAGCGCTCTTACTCCATAGTGACACCGTGTGTCCCATCACTAATTAATTAATAAGTCGCTAATTATACGACTTAATTCATCGAAAATTAATAGGCTTCTGTTCCGAACTATGATGAATGCACATGCATTTGGAGCAGATTCAACCTCGCTTTCGTGAGATATCGCGTGTATCTAACAGACAGACAGACAAACAAACAAACAGACAAATACCTATCAACATACTTACCGATCTTAAGATCGATAAGTAATAACACTTGTTGTTGCATCATGCTCGATAGCTTTTCGACATCAGGCGGAACAGTTCATGAAGCCAAGATTAGAACATTTTCTAAATGGACACCACTAATTCGAGTAATCAGATTCTTCGTTATAATGTTCATTTTCAAAAGTAATTGTTCGCACGCATGTGCACTTCCAAACATCGATGTGAATTTTTTCACATGGTTTGTCAAATTTGGATAGAGATTTCCTTCAAGAAAATATTTTTAATAAAATTTGGGCAGTGATACATCTCTCGAATAAAATATGGATTTTATTTCCACATTGTATTGCATTCCAGGAGGCTCCATTCGATATTTTCTGTGCCATTGAACCCACCGCACTCGGCACCAACTTTACTTCTTGTTGCCATTTGTCTAATTATAATTAAATTGTAGGCTCGTTAAACGAATAATGTTCACTAAATTGTTAGGTTATATTATAATCTACACATATCTCACAATACATTCTGTTACGTGGAGAATATGATCAACTGCTGGAGCGTGAATTATAAAATTAATTTATCGTCAAAACTACCGTTTTGTTACTATAATTCAGTGAAGCTTCCCGGCTAGATTATTAAACTCCGCTGGCCGAAGGTTAATGGACAGTACACCGGGAGCTCCATGTCAGCTCAAACCTCAAAGAAAGTTATTGACTTGCAACACCATTATAGCTATAATAAATTAAAACGATGAGCCCTTGCTTGCTTTGCAACTGTATTTATATACACAGAGAGGTCCAAAAACGGAATTCATATAATACGTTCCATCTAGATTGGGTTCCATTTTTGGGGATCATCCTATACTTTAAAAAAATCAGCAAATTTAACATCATTCTTATGTAATTGTCGTTTGCCTAACGACCCAATACCTGGGAATATTTTGATGAAATCATGAATACTGCAATGTAATCATATTATATTTTCGTTTCATATAAGCAAGTAGCTAGCACATGTCCATTGGTTTCACTTGCATATAAGTGATATATATACTTTTTACAAAGGCGGTCAATGCGTCGGCACAGTACACAATAAGCTGAGCTAATAACCTAATTGTTTTCTTCGTCATTTATTTTTGAAGCCTATTTTATTTTTAGAAAAATCAATCAAGTTATTCGACGAGTCTAATTATGAAGAAGCAGTCCCGATCTTAGAAGAACTGGCAACCCTACAAAACCATCAGGATTTGGATACAGTACTTCCAATGATCGAGTGTTTTATACATCTCGGCAGAAGAAACGAAGCGGAAACGGCTATTGGCAATCTCAGAGATATATCGATGACGTCATCGATAACCAGCGCGGATGACGTCGAAGCCTTTGCTACTGACTTGATTTCGAACTCCGCTCACATTAGCGCTATAATATTGCTTCAAATAGCAAGCGATATGTACAAGGCTAGAGTAACATCCCCCGACGATGCAATAAATCGAATTAGACTTTGTATTAATAAGATGTATCAAGCCATAAAGCCAATGATTGAAGTCGGTGGTCGATCTAAAACTATAGCATTAGATTACGGCATAGAATACATGACAGAAATGCTGGATGATATTCGCGTAATAGAAAACGCTGATCCGGTTAATAAAGCATTGAGTGAGTCTTCGTGCTTACAATTCATAGGATCTATCTATACCCTGGCAGATGAATATGAGAAAAGTATAACACTATTTATCAGCGGACTCGGAGTTCTTGATCAACAATTCCGTTCAAATGCTTCAAAATATCAAATATACGGTTTATCCTTGCATAATATCGGACTAAACCATCATGATCTGCAGGAATATAAAGAAGCAGATTATTATTATATTAAAGCCATTGAAGCTTATAAAAATGCCACTGATTATGAGAATGAAGCTGATAGAAAGAAAGATATTGAGTTGGTAGATACCGATCAGAAAAACACTCGCGCTCGCAAACTCACCCTGATATCCACACACATCCGCACCGGAAAATCTTAAATTATTTCAAACAATGAATATTCAAAATAAATCTCATTTAGTCTCGCATCTAGTGGCATTATTGAATACTGATTACACTAAACGAGGGAAGATAATAAGCGACATAAAAAAACTTCAAAATCAATTTTTTAAAACAACAATCAGGGGCTCCAGAAGTATGTGTACCACTGTGGAGTTAACTAATTTTGTTCGCCTATAGTTTACATCAAGTCGAATACATGCTGTTAAAAAGATTTATCTGTTTTACTTGTGTAGACACGTAAATTCATAGTTTGACATTCTAAATATCTTATTTCAATCGAAAGCTCTCACAAACTATTAATCGCAATTGTTTTGTAACAGATTTGAGGTGAACTTCGTTTTGTGAATATTTCATATACTCATAATCCAGTAAATTAACTTTATTTTTATTATATTTTATCTCCATATGTAATTTTCATGATTCCAGGGACTTACGTTTGTTTTTCCTTTTATTGAACTTGAGAGTTTTTAAAATTTTTTGAGAGACCCACTGGAAGCAACATTTTCTGCAAAATTTTATTGTTTTATTTTGATTAATGAGAACACATTTATATGACATATGGGAACACTTTTATTTAGAGGAAGTCTGATATTGTGGTATTTCGATACTTTAAATCAGGGGTCGGAAACCTTTTTGGTCAAGAGAGCCATAAAATGTACATATTTTCAATTGCATTTCCGTGCGAGTCATATAGCATTTCTTAATTTAATCAGGCCTGAATTTTACTCAAAAGTCAACACATACAATGTCAATATACATTTAATGTGACTTCTGATGCTGCATGTTGTCGCCGAGGTCCTTGAACGGTTGCTCACATCCAAGTTGAAATCTACGATACTCATCAGTGTCATCACCCTTCTTTCGTTTAGGTACTTCCGTAGTATTTTGAAAACTATCTTTTCTAGTACGATCTAAATATGATAAATACTGTAACCTGTACGTAGAAACGGACAAAGAGCTTTTATCTATTGCTCCGCAACTATATCGCTTTTGACGTCACAAAATGTATTCCAGAATCTCCTAGTTTTGTCACAATGCCTCCGATTCGATTCGAAAAAAAATATTTGATTCGATTCGGAAATCATTAGGTATTCGAAAATGCCCAGCCCTAATAAGTACACCTAAATATGGAAAAAGAGTCAAGAAAGATGTTACTTTAATTTTTCCAAATTTCTCTCGATAAATTGAAGCTTGATATTTCAGCTCTAAATTTTACTGTTTTATTCCAATTTGAGAAGACTTTTAAAGGCCATATGGCAACCCTTCCTTATTATTAAAAGAGTCTCTAGAAAGCCTTTAGATATTGCAGTATTCCTCTCTAGTTTACAATTATGGATCAATATTTTTATGGAACAAATACTAAATGAAGTGAACTATTCTATTGTATATAATTCTAATTGAGTGAATTAATTTACCTTTGTTGTATTTTATCTTTATTATGTAATTCATCCCGTGAATTGTTGGTCAACTGATTACATGTAAATACCAGTAATTTTACTGTATTTTATTATTTTACGATTCAACCACGATTCACATTACGATTCAGTAATCTTTATATCTATCGATTCACAACTTTTCATCAGATATATCTGAAATAAATCAGAATTATAATCAAGTGTGCCGTTGCGTTTTCCTCCGGATTTAGTGCAAGGTTTTTGAACCAGGGGTCAAAAGAAAATGCTCACCCAGTCTGTCGGGTCATGTAAGTGTGACGTATAAAGTTACATTTTATGAACGATATCTACAGTGTTACAAAGATAAGGTTAAAAACAATAAACCTCGTGCTGAAACTAAATTTAACGTAATCTCAACAAATTCCTTGAGGTATTTTTGGTTATATTTTACGTATAAATTTGGTTTCAGTTTGGTTGTGGTATCATGAGGCGGGCCAGATTAAATAAGCCCGCGGGCCGTACTTGGCCATGTTTGGTTCAGTGATACTTAATCAGGATTCAGTATACTACGTTGGGTAATGTTCGCTATGCGAAATATCGACACGCATAACTTCTCGTTTATGTATTAACATACACACACACACGCACACACACACACACATACACACACACAAACACACACACACACACACACACACACATACACACACACATACATACATACATACATACATACATACATACATACATACATACATACATACATACATACATACATACATACATACATACATACATACATACATACATACATACATACATACATACAAAATACCGTGTTCCCCAAAATAAGCTTCCCCTCAAAATAAGACCTAGTCGATAGCAAAAAATCTCCCCTGCACGTTTTAAATGAATAATTATTTGATATTCGAGTTAACTTGAAGTTTATATCATGGGATGAATTCCTATTAGGAAGATCTCCTCTTAAAGGCTAAATAAAACATATTTTAGTGAAATTGTAAGGTTTTATTGCAGAGGTGTGAACCTTTAAAAAAGAAGGCCAGATATCAATAATTGGGCGAAACAGCCGACCGCACCTTTATTTAACATAGGTTTTCTGGTAGTTCAGGCTCAAAATTAGGATATTTATCTTATGACATCCGTTGTTGGCTTCGCACTCGTTCAGGTATATGCTTTACAACGCAAAGGAATTGGAATTACTCGCACGTACTAGATTAAATTTAATTAAAAACTCGTTTTGCGACTCGCACACCATTGAAAATTGGCTCTCCTCCGCAGGGCCAACAATCTGTCCCTGTTTTTTTTTTATTGCGCCATAAAAGCCTAAAGAATGTTGCGTAGACCAGCGGTTCTCAAACTTTTTGTTCGTGCGGCGCCAAATTATCAGGGAAAAAACTCACGGCACACATGCACAAAAAAATTATGAATTTATTGAATTATCTACACATCATTTAAAAAAGAAACAATAAAACATTTAAAATAATACAATATGTAATATATTCAATCATAATGAGTAATGTTCACCACAATTCTGTTAATTTTCGCGGGGCACTTGGCAAATCGTCGCGGCGCACACTTTGGGAACCGCTGGCGTAGACAATCCATTCTTGTAGTTTGACGTCACATACTTTTACGTTGTATGCGCCTTCGTCGTAAATTTTGCAATGATTAATATGTATGGAGAATATTGTAGTGGTCTAGGGTCCGGTAAACATCCATTCCATCATGAATCCCACTTTATGCTAGTGGTCGAGATATCCACCAATAGCTCATTCCGCCGGTGCCTGATGAACGCGCTCAAAGTCCGATTTACTTATCAGCGTATGGTTGTTAGTTAGCCAACACTTGAGTCTTGTTCGTAGCCAATAGGACAACAACGTGAAGATACGCAGTGGGACATGTGACCAATATTTATATATATACATAACTTCCATATCAGCACAAATAACTACGATATATTTTGCATTGTTGAGTTCACTGTTTCGTTGCCTAATTGCTATCAGCTTAGAATAAAAAACTCGCGTACAATTGAACTCCGTTTATTGAGAACAGCGGCACAACTCAATATTACAACTTAAATAGTGACCATAAACAAAATCTACAAGTTAACACTAATCAGACAGATAGATGAGATGCGGTGTGGCTCTCATCATTTGGGTAATCACATTGTGTAGCATGAACTGCGATTGCACATTAGTTTGCAATTGGGTTTGAAGCGACGGTCGCCGTCATCACGTCTGTCGTGGTTCGTATCGCGTTATCACCATTCGCAGTATGATTACAAAATTTGGTACTCTTGAAGTATGCCAACCAAATGGCGAACACTGAAACGTAGTATTGTACCAGGTTAGGGTTAGGTCATAATTTCAGGTACAAATACTACGGGAGTCACTTGGCTAGTCCCCGAACTCGTAATATACCTAAAATAAGGAAAATTGGAAGAAAATTAGGGCCCAACCTTAACCTGGTACACATACTACGTTCTGTTGTCCGCCATCTTGGTTTACATACTTCGGGACTACCAAAAGTTGGTTAAAATGCAGCAAATATTACCCGTGGAAAACTTGTAAGCTTACCTTGAAATGTATATTAAATTAATACATTAGTCTCGCAGCAATGGGGCATTGCGTAAATTGACCTGGTTTGCTCCGGATGTTTGCAGATTGTTTTGCGCAAGGCAGTTTGCAACATCTTGTTTAAATACTAGTTACGTCGTTCCACCCCTAACCTATAATTATATATTTGCACATAGTCTGTTCGGAACCCTTGTAAAAATCGCAACATAATTGTCACAGTAATGGGCCATTGTGTGAATTGACCTGGTTTGCTTCAGATTGTTTTGCGCAAGGCAGTCTGCAACATTTTGTTTAAATACTAGTTACCTCATTACAGCCCTAACCAATAATTATATATTTACACATAGTCTGTTCGAAACCTTTGTAAAAAACGCAACAAAGGTTTCAGAGTAATGGGTCATTGCGTACCTGGTTTGCTCCGCATGTTTGTAGATTGTTTGGCGCATGGCAGTTTGCAACATCTTGTTCAAATACTAGTTACGTCATTCCACCCCTAACCTATAATTATATATTTGCACTTAGTCTGTTCGAAACCCTTGTAAAAATCGCAACATAATTGTCACAGTAATGGGGCATTGCGCAAATTGACCTGGTTTGCTTCAGATTGTTTTGCGCAAAGGCAGTCTGCAACATTTTGTTTAAATACTAGTTACCTCATTACACCCCTAACCAATAATTATATATTTACACATAGTCTGTTCGAAACCTTTGTGAAAAGCGCAACATAAGTTTCAGAGTAATAGGTCATTGCGTAAATTGACCTGGTTTGCTCCACATGTTTGTAGATTGTTTGGCTCAAAGCAGTCAGCAACAACTTGTTTAAATACTAGTTACGTCGTTACTCGTTCGTTTTCTCCGAACAGACTTACTTCGTCGTGCAAAGCGCACAAGGAAAAGTCATCTTTCATTGAATCGTTCAAAAATAGAGTATAATAATGTTGAAAAAAGCGTAAGAAATTACGAAGAGTGTGGTCCCTCAGCCGTCCC